GTAATTACGAGGGGCATTACGAGGTTGTAAATTCGAAATATACGTAGGGTTTTGATTTCAAAAGGACACCTGCAACTTTGGCGATACATAGTTAACAGTGTATACAGAGTGCGTATACATATAAGAGACATAGCTTTCAAATGTTGAAAATATTAACCTTTCGAGTGGCAACCAGGATTACTCGCGTCTTCCTCGATTTTTCTCCTCTTGAACTGCTCGGAAAAATCTCCAAAAATCATCGGGACTTCTACCTGAAGATCGCACAGCTATTTTGTCAACGATAAATTGCTAAGTATTTTATTCGATTTCACTTTGAAAAACGAGCACTTCTTACTGGCTCTGGTTGCCTGGTTGGTAGATTAATACAGGGTGATAGGAACATACACGGTCTCTATGGTATAAGGTGGTTACTCATCATAAATCATCGGCGCCGCACGCTTCCGCCTATCCCTCTCGTCCGATCCACGTGCGTCGTGGCTTACACCGCGACCCTGTAAATCTTCCCAACTTGCATCTCGATGATAAGTAAATAGCGCGTCCCTCGGTACAAATATTTCTACAGCGCACGTAACCTGTCGAGTGTTTAGCCGGAATCCCGCTTGCCCCGCGTTTATATTGCTAATCGTCGGGGATAACTGCACCCTCAGTTGGGATGCATATGTCGCGTACTCTTCGGTGCGTCACGTAGAACGTACGGGATATTATTCTTCGCCGATGTAATCGGCGCATTAATCATACGTGTCCTAATATGTGTACGTCCTCCGAAAATAGAACGAAGACAGCGAGGATAAAATCGCCGGCTACAAATCGAATCGATTGAATTACGCGAACTGAACGCGGGGCGAATCGCTCGACTGTTAAACGTCTAAATAAGTAATATTCGCTGTTGTTTTCCCCCAAAGCCACGTTACAACAAGTGCACTACGGCAGATCCAGCGAGTGTACGAAGACCGCGCTCACGGCACGGTACTCGTGCGTTTTACGGGGTAGAATAGACGCGCGCGGAGACGTATAAAAGTTGAGGCCTTTCAGGTCTCGTATTTTTACGAGCGAGCCGCGCGAAAAGAAACAAAACCTCTCGGCGTGGCAGGGCAATTATCCACAGCCTACTCTGTTCGGCTCGGCCTCCTATTCACGGGACTCTGTGCGGAGCTGACTTTCGGTACATTATGCTACTTTCGCGTGCTATAAATAATCGCCACGTCGCGCGTGAGCGGCACGTTCGAGGTAATACATAATGAAAAAAGTTAATATTTCATTGTGGCCGCTGGCACGAGAGCATAAATATTCAGGGCAATCGTCGATCGGATTTGCCAGGGAGAACAGCGCCGTTTGTTTATATATAGGGTGCCCCGAAACCCAGTATCCTCAACACGACAGATTCCTTAGGACATTATGAGATGAAAATTCAAATACGAAAGTCGAGATGCAAGCGATCGAAAAAGCGGGGCTTTTCGCAAATGAAATTTCGACCGACCGAATAGATAACGAAATTATTCTCTCCGATCAACTTCACAGAGTGTCTGAAAACCTGTCTACTTCTTAAAGAATTGTTTTCGCGGGTTTGAGTATGCAAATACCGAATCGATACGCAAACGCAGTATATCGCACTTGACGATCGAACGTTACTCGAATCGCGACGACTTTTAATCCGCAAGGTGGATAACGATCGAGCGATTTCGCGCGACTCGGCCGGCGATTTTCGTCGCGATAGAAGCGTAGAAGCGAGCGAACGGTGAAGAAGAATATACATCAGTCACGACGATGGATGTAACGAGAATGTAAAGGCGGGATCGTCCATACGTGGGGTGCCATTATCGGTCGTGTGCGACGACACGTCGGAATTGCGAAGCCGCGTGCGGCTCGTTAAATTCTTCGCTCGGTGAGCGGGACGCGGCCACGATTCTGTGAAATTGCGCGATCATTCGTTACGGGAAGCTTCGGCCGGCTTGGAGCACACGCGCGCGACCGAATTGCGAAATAATTGTCTCCGCCGCCGAGTCAATATCTTCGATCTAAGAAGGCAAATAGTTGCGCCCTTGCTTCATTAGTCACCCCTCGGCTGCGTTATCCTTATAAAGGGACGAGGTTTGTAAGAGCAACACGTCCTTCATTAACGGAGCAAGTCGACTCTGGGGAAACGTATCATTTCGTACGCGCGATTCATGTGCGTGATGACTGATCGACGGCGAAAAGGAGAGAAAGAGGCAAGTTAGACGGCGATTATAAAGTGACACGTGCCTCTTCACGAGTGACCCCATGCCGGCACGCACACGACCGCCGAAAGCTAACCGAAGAATCGTGCGCGAGGCACAATTAATTTATTGTTTGTGCCAGCCGGGTGACAATCGGACTCGCGCGGCGGGAAAGCGGGATCGTTTGAAACGAGGGGATCCGGCTTGCGGACGCTGTGTGACACGAATCGCTTTCGCGATCCCACTCGTTCCTGATCCATTCGTGAGAATTTCACCGAGCTTAATTACCTGGCACGGTTCGTTAATGCTTGTCGAGCAAAGTTAACAAGGGCCGATTATTCAACCGCCCTCTTATTGTTTCTCTTATTGTTACGTGACGTCTGGCACTTGACAAAAGCACAGATTTGGGATATCAATGGCGTAAACGTCTCGAAGCTTCGCATGATTAGATCGATCGGAGGAAATGAGGGAATTTTTAAGGTGCAGGAATAAGATGCGATCGATAGACAAGGTGCGATACATCTTTCAGAGGAAAATATGATATATTTTCTTGTACAAGCATGCAATATGCGTTATTCTTTTACAATATTTACAAGGTTGAACGCCGTGATTTTTGCTACGAAACTTCACACTTTACATCGATATAAATAATCGGGCTTGCATTTGTGTGTATATGTGTGTGTGAGTGTGTGTACATATATATATAGGTTTATACATAATAGATTATGCTACGACCAATTTTTCTATTTGGTAGTAAAATATCTCGCGACGATCAAAGTGCACCGGGGCTTCCGCTACACGATTTTATTTACAACGTTTACACACCTCAACAGTATTTTTCCAACAATGCTGTTTGTTCGTTAAATAAGCAGGAATAAAAATATAATGGTACTAGTCTTCTCTCCGATAAAAAGGGCGTATCTTTGGTCGATTGGTACAAGCACTGGTCAGTCTTTGCAAATCGTAAGTTTCCTCTCTAACTATATACATTTCATTATATATTAATTAGAAACTTAGAAACGTCTAGCGTATTTACATTGTACGTCCCCAAAATGAAATCTCTCTTTCTTTCTTTCTATCGTATAGCAGCAGTGTCGATATTTTTACCGGCATATGTTTCAATACCAAAACTCTGCAACACATAGACTCAAAAATTGAAGGCAAAAACGATATTTCCGCATCACAAAATATGAACATAGTGCATGGAAGAAATATCACAACATTTTTTACCTCGATTACTTTCGGAACGCATCCGGTATCTAATTTAACATTTTTTCTCCTCGATATTACTAAAAAACGAATTTTACTGGATATACTGAGAGAAAAATATATGTTTGGAACTGTAATAGCAATATTTTTTATTATAAACATGCTAATGATTATAACAAATAATGAAAGAAACAACCATAGTCAAAACAATCATAGTTATCATGGCTATAAATCCGGGTTCCTTTTGCATGCTTTAAAGGACTATAAACGCAGTTGAAGCCCAAATTGACTATAAAATATAACGAGATTACAGTTATTCCAACTACTTTTTCTCTCAATATACGAATACGTTGCGAAGTTTAGTGAAAGAAAAGACTATTGCAACTTTCCTTCTAATACACTGAAAGACTAAACAAATCGGATTTTGAAATTTTATCGAATAGTTATCCTCTCATAGGTCTCCAACTACTTTATATTCGTCAGCTCCGAATTGAAATGTTTCAATAATTTATATATTATCTTCGTAATACTTTCGATTAAATTATAATTATAATTTTCACAAAAGTTCTATTTAAAAAAATTCACGTCCAGCGTAAGGTTCGTTACACCTTCTTATGTGATTAATGGCGCTCGTAACGATCGCGAAATGCTCAACTGTAGTGGCTGGTAATATCGCTGATTAATTACCGTCGTGTCTCGATCTGTGATATCACATACGTAAATATTGATAAATATTATTACCACTCACAGTAGTTTTCACGACGTGTAAACGATCGTTCGTTCCTTAGCTATCATTTTCCCTAATGTTCAATATTGTCCAATTCCGCAGTTAATCATTTCTTGTATCACCAAAGTTGCGTTCTTGATCATCAACGTTAGAATCGGTTGCGTGCGTTATAGATATCGATCGGTATTGTTTTTCTATTACTTTCCAAATATATACGTAAGAGCAACAACGATCGAAACGTATCGAATGGGAATAATTGAAACATTGACAATGAGATTTGCTCTCATCGTCTTTCTAATTAAAGATCGCATCGAGATTCTATTACGAGTCGACAATTAAAGTAATAGCATACGTGACATAGAAATTATCGGTAGGATTGATTGCACGTATTCAGATTGCACTTGCGAAGCTTGGTCCAATTATCGAAATGACGTTTCTCATTTTTGTACCGTGACTCGTATTTCCGCAACACTTACAACACGAGAAGGATCTCGGGTAAATGTCTCGTCGCTCATATCGGAAGGCCGCGAATTTCAGATGAGAAGAAATAAGAATGGACAAGAATTGTTGTGTGATGCGTGAACGTCGAATAAAGAGAGAACCTAAATAGTAGAGTATACACACATATATATATATATATATATGTATATATATATATATATTACCGTATTTGCGAGTTAGTGGGCCGACGATTACAAGTTGCTTCTCAAGGCCGCGACGCTCTTTTCCTCAATCTTGGAGAATCGCTTGTAGGGCGCGACGTAGGTGACGCGAGGCTGATCCGAGACAGCGTAGGCCCCGCTGCTCATACGTTGCTCGTCGTACTGGTCTCCGCTGCATTCCGGCGCTGCGCAATGATGTTTCTCTCGTTGCTGTGGCTGTTGATGACGATGATGATGATAATGCTGATGATGCCCGCATGCGCCATCGTCAGGAGTGTCAAAGTGCTACGCACAGGGCACCTCGAATTGGTGTCAGCGAACAAAAGGATTATGGCCGTCGTAGTGATGATGATGATGATGCTGCTGGGGCGGCGTGCCGTCGCCCGCCGGTGCCGTCTGATGCCCATGAAGCTCCTGAACGGGGTTCGGGCTGTACTGCTGCGAGTCGACGATGACGCTGGTGTAACCGGCTGCCGACGCGGCTTCCAGTTGATGATGAGAGTGCTTGACCGTCGCGTTGCCGTTGTTATTGTGAGCCTGGCCCTGGTAGCCATCGTGATGTTGAAGCGCCGCGGCGTTGTAGCTGTCGTTGTTATTGAAGCCGCAGTTCGGATACATGATGACGCCGCCCGCCTCGCTCAACGTCGAGTCCGACATGTGATGGTGGTGGTGGTGCGATGAATGGTATCCCGATGTAGGTAGCAGATTCATGGAATTCGCGAAGTGAGACTCGAGACCGTCGCTGCTGCCGCAGGAGCTCGAGGACGTGGAGTAAGGCCGTTTCTGCTGGCCGCTCTGGGGACTATGTTGCTGCTGCTGCTGCTGCTGCTCGAGAGTGGTCAGAGAGGTCGCGTGATGCAGCAAATGCTGAGAATGTTGTCGTTTGTGCTGATTATTCTGCGTACCGTGCTGGATAGTCGTCAGGGAGGACGCATGGTGCAAGAGATGCTGATGCGCTTCTTGCTGATGCTGCAGATTGTTGACCGGATCTTGATTGAGATCTGAAAATCATGGGACGAATGGTGATGCCAATTTACATCGTCGCGATCATTAAGGCGGGGGAATTATACTTTTTTTTTTTCCGTCTCATACATGTTCACTTTTAATAATTAATAATTTTGCGTGGCTGTTTGCGAAACTTGGGAGGAGCTTTTCTGCTCGGTTTAACCCGATCAACATTCAATCTCTCGATTGAAGCTTGCGGCGGAAATGAGGAGGAAAAGCTTCACTGAGTCGATTACTTCGTCATCTTTTCGTCATTGTTCTCGTGTTGAGCGAATCGTTCGTACGAAAACTCACCACTGTATTGGTAGAATAAATCCGAATTGTAGTAAGTGCCGTCTTCGTGGACCGTTCCGTCTACGCTATGCGACGCGTATGGCGACGACGACAAGTAATGATTGTGATTCGTTGTACCGGTGATATAATCCGAGTTGGAATATCCGGAACTGTCGGCGTAGTCGGTATCGGGCGGCTCCTTCGTCCTGCCACCGCGGTAGGAAGGCGGGCTCGGGCTGTGATTGTCCAGGTCGTTCGCGGCGACCGCGGGCGTCGAGAGGGGCGCGCTCGGCGGATTCCCAGGACTCGAGCAGGGCAACTTCTGCTCGCAGTTGAGGATCAAGCCCGTGCTCTCGGTGGCCGTTAACACATAGTTGACGGAGACGATGCAGTGCGGCCGCGAGCTTCTTGAGTTGTGCACGATCGTCACGTACGACTGCATCCATACCCACCCGCCGTTCTTGGTCAGAAACCTGTAGTACCTCGTTGTCACTTGACCCTTGCACAGCACTGCCGACAAAGCAAGACGGCTGGATCACGTGAATTTTTAGCGGGAATTAACGCACCGAGAGCGGCTTGAAATTATTCACTTGAACATTCGTATTTTTCGTGCAATAAAGAAGCAAATATGGCGTGATTCGTGGTTATTATTACGTTAGAATCGAAACCGAGCGCGATGAGAAAGTAATTCTGCAATCAAAGGAGATTCGGACTCTTCATGTTTCCTTTTTTTTTGTTTTTTTCGCACCACTTAAGATAAATCCTGTTGGCGGGCGTGATATCGCTGTCGAAATGAAAAAAAAAGAATCGTGTGGAACGATCGCGCAATCCGCAAGCGCAGACATTAGTGGTATTATGTCAGACTCCCTTCGAGTCGCGCTCGTGAAACTGCGAGTCTGTTCAAACAGTGATAGCAGTAACAGTCTCCTCCCTCGCTCACCTCTCTCGCTAAATCTCTCTCGCTTCTCTTCGCTTTCCTTCTTGCGCCTCTCATTGTCACACTCACGCTCACACGCGCGCGCGCATACACACACACATACATATACGCATACTATTCCTTCCTCTCTTTCACGCGATAGACGCGCACACACACACATACACTCACCCAGACAGCCTCTTTTCGTCGACGCGCTGTGGCAGCATTGTTCAATCAATAATGTACACCCTAGGTACACCCTACACCACGTGTGTGCACATACTTAGAATAAGCGCGACGGCGCCCCGAGAGAGGAAAAATGGAAAAGAGCGGAAATACGTAGCCGTCGTGCGCGAAAAGCGCGAGGAAAGATCAAAGAATATTTCGTCAGCGAGGTAAGGGCGTCGCCGAGTTAAGCAGCGTCAGCTGCTTTCGGTCCCCGAAGAGCCTATCCTCTTCGAGTACCATGTCGATGTCGTTTGAGAAAATTTCCTGTCGGACCGCCCGCCTGCGACGGAAAAATATCGGGGAAAATATTTTCGAACGCTTGTTTCGGAGTTTTGGCTCTTTTGGATTTGTGGGACGATTGGTTCAAGAAATAAATGGTGACCTCTGGTCAAGGAAAATGTGAACGACGAAGTGTAACGTATCCGTGAAAAGTAGCGTTAGTACTGAAAAGGAAAGAAAAACTGGAGGAAATGCACCGATGTTGCCGGCATTTTTCGAAGGGGCTCGCTGCTACGATACATACATGCACTGGGGGAAAAATTGGGTTGAAAGAAATCAAGTCTCACGTTTACGCAAATTTCACTGCACGAACCGCAGTCGGGCCCGACTGAGTTAAAATCCAGCCAGACAAACAATCTGGCGTAAGAATTTGAATTGCAAAATTTAGTCAGCGGTAAGATCTTCAATTAACAACCTGCTTCTGCGCTGTTAGAAAATGCAGTAAAATCAGAGAGAATTTTACATGGAGAAAAACGCTGTGATATTCTCTCCGTGTAACGTCGCATCGAAATTTAAGCAAATTTCGTTGCACGAGATCGATAACGAGTGAAAGTTTGCGCGAATCAATTTTTATTTAATATGTCCGAAGGTATCGTCAGTCGCCTCGAGCAACATGAGAAGGAATACTTACGAACTCGATGAGCGTGCCGCAGTTGCAAGACGTCAGCTGCGTGCACATAGTGGTACAAGGTCTTTTCGATGAGATCCGGCGGGTCGTATCCTGTCAAATGGGCTACTCTGTAACAACGAGACGTACCGATACGATATCTCTCCATCAACTATTTAACTGAAAATTGCAAGTTTAAATGATCTATTTTGAATTCGAACGCAAAGCCACCGAAATATCTGCTGCTTTCTTTTGCCTCTTTCATTTCTCCCTTCTGTATAAGATCCGTGCACGATGTTTTCTCACACGGTCCTCCTAGCTCGATGTTTACTGACACAGAGTTAGCGTGGCTACGGCCAAAAGAAGGTTCGTCACCATTCGGCTTGTTTTCGTCGGGATTTACGGTGCGAGCGTTGCGAGTTTGCACAATCCGGGCGAGCCGATTCGATCGACGTGTGTATAAAATTTCATCGCGCTCTTCTATCCGTGCTATATTTATACCGCGTCACGTGCTCGTTCCCAGCGAGCGAATGTAACGCGGCTCGTCGGAGCCGCCGGTAGTGGATATTTATTTGCCACGAATGGAAGGAGGAAAAAAAACGAGGATACGTGGCAGCGCGGTAACTCGAAACTGATTTTAATGGTCGTACCTCGACCGGGGGCACCGTGCGGGCCCTTCATCGAAATATTAATGGCGCAATACGACACTCCGCTATAATTACATTGGAAATAAATAATCCGCTGTGTCCTGGTGCTCGAATCAACGCCGCACGCTTCCTCCCGCGACACCGGGAAATGCAGGTCCACGAAGAAGAGGCCTTGTATTCGAGAATAAATTAAGAATTCCTTTTCTTTTCACTTAGAAATTCATTTCGTTAGGTCCTTTTTCTGTTGACTTGGTGTCAGTATTATGTTGGGCTTTTACACGAGTAACTATAGATCGTTCTTTCGTCATTAGTTAGAGAGCGACTGTGGTAGGGGGGTTAACGAAATCTTACCTCGCGTCGAGAAATATGAGCTTCAGGTCGAGCGATGCCCGGAACATGAACATGTTGTGGTGCAATTTAATTTCGGTTATGGAACTCGTTGGCAGGGAATGGCCAACCGCCAACAGACCGACGTTTCGGATAAGACCGACATTTCGGATAAGGCTGTCCTCGTATTCGACAGGTCCATCGAAGACGCATTTTAGATAACCCGAACAGTGTATGACCTGGAACACCGCGAATATTTCGCGAGAGATGAACCTTTCTCGACATATATTTCTCAGATTAACCGAAACAAAAGAGAAAATAAACAGTAAAAACGATTTAAGTTAGTAAGGGAAGTGTTTCGCCGATCATCAGCAAGTATTCACTGATTTTCAGTAACCTCCGTATATGAATTCTCACGATGCATTGTAACGCATCGTGGTCGCGTGCACGCACGCTCGGTTATTATTTGGCCGAGCGGTAAGTGCGACACTCGAGCGAACGTACCCTCGCGCGCGAGACAACGTGCTCCCCGGCAAATTAACAATTCCTGCTTAATTGAATGTAAGACCGGCGATAGGAGAAAAAGCGGAAGCTCACGCCCCCGTCTCGAGTGCCGGGCGAATTTGTGAGGCAAATAGGCCCCTCATTATGCCCGCGTTGCATATATCACCTCGTATGCAATCCCCGCATGTGGATCTCGCGCGGTGCGAAGAGTTAAGGAAGAGTATAATTTGACACGAGGGCGTCCGATCTTACCCTGAAAATAGATTCGCGCGTGTCTCGCCAACGGGGCAAACGTAATCGCGACGTATCATCCGCGAGCGAATCCGAGCAGACCCTTGTTAATACGAAGAGTCGATCGGATCGTTTGTCGTAATCTGGATCGCACGAGATCGAACATCTTGGATGGATCGCCCGTGTGATCCTCGAAACGAAACAACGTTCTCTCTCTCTCTCTCTCTCTGTCACTTGAGTTCCACGCATTCGTTAATTCGCCGTTAAATCCGCGCTCGCGCGCGTCAACAAAGAGAAGCCAACTACGATCCGGTCTTTGTGCGGCCCAAGTACCATAGAGAAAAACTTGCCCTCCGCGTTCCGAGCTCGTCCACCAGCTCGCAGGGGTTGCATTCATGACTTCGCCCATTGGGGGATCTTTCGTGCGCGATTTTGTCGAGGGCTACGGTCATCGTGGTATTGTGCCACGAATGAGCTATTTGCCAAACATTTCCCTCCACGAGGGGCATGTCTTCCTCGGTTAGCTGGCGCCTAGGTACGTCGCGGTTTCTCCGTCACTCCCCCCCCGTTCGTTATTGCCGGGACATATGTCGGAAGTTTCGGCCGGATTTCGGAAAATTAAGGCGTCGCCGAGGTCATAAAACGAGATCAAAACGTTGATCCGCGAACTTTCGCATTTGGCGTATTTCGCGCATTTGGTGCATTCGGCGTATTTGCCGCTCCGCATCGTGTAAGTCTGACTGATGGTAATGACGTTGATAACATATCGGCTAAACAGGACCCTTTAGCACGCAACATATTGATTGAGATTAATTCGACAAGTTGTCGCCTTCCTCCCCTCCTGATGAAACAAAACGCGTTTGCTTCATTCACTCTCTGATAAATTCAACGATATTTTTCTTCCGTACACCGAAGACCCTCTATCATTCTTAAAATTTCGCAATAATTATATAAAAAGTTAATTAAAAAATATCAATGCGCGGGTAGAAAGCGATAAGACGAGTTTCGTAAATAAGCTTTCATCCAAGATGACTCGACCTCCGTTGTCCAGCATCACTGGCATATATCGGTTTGTCAAGCGATTGTCACAACAAACTCGAGTTATTTCCCCAAATCTCGTCTATTGATAAAGTGATGGTACCGTCGATATAATATTATCACTCTTAGATGAAGCTATACTCTCCGTCTTAATCCGTGAAATAATGTCTTTCCAACTGAAGACCAATATGTGCAATCGCACGGAGACCAAAATCGACGCTCGAATTTATATAAAGTTATTTGCGAAAAAATATAAAGTTTTTTTGTGAAAAAATGTATTTTATTTATGAAAATTTTGCCCGATATACGGGCTTCAAAGTGTAATAAGTATTGCGAAATCTGCAAAATGATTGAATACTTTTCTGTTCAGTTTGACCTGCTTTATCTGCACATGAGCGTTGTGTCATCAATTATCAACCACCCTATTTATACATATATATACATATATACATATATACATATATATACATATATATTACTAAAAAAATAGAGAAGAAATATCAATAGTGATGCATGTAGGAAGCGTAACTCTCATCTTTCTCGGACGGATTGGACGCGAACGGCTCACCAACCCGGTGCACTTTTCCCGTGCGCGTGACCGGAACAATGGCACCCCTACTTAGCTAAACAGTTCTTGTCTGTTACTTAGAGTTTCGACTTTTCATTCATTTTATGATTTCCTGTATAAAAAATCAAACGCTTATGCTAATCGTTCATTGTTCAACGTTTTCCCTTCTTGATGCAGTTTATTTCAGTCGCGAATACATCGTGCGCTTTATGAAGGTAAAGAAAAGCCGATCGCGATTTCTCTTGGCAGGTCGGCATATCTTTTACGAAAACTCGGGTTACCTTGTATCCTTCGGTGACGAGGCCCGCGTTTCTCTTGGCTAGGATGCACTTCATCCTAAGAAGAAAGGCACGTTCCAGCTCTATCTCGCCTCGCGAATTCGGCGGTGGATATGTATAACGGTGATCCGGGGAATTGGGCGGAAGACTCAGCACGGAAACCATCTCGGTACGATCCTCCGGATAAATATACTCGTATATGCTGTTTCCCGTTAATTCCACCTGCACGCACGAACAGTCTTTCGTTCAACAGTTACAGAGACGCGAACTTTCGTTTTTTTTTTATTTTCCACATTATTCACCCGAGTCGAAATTTTAGTTCTACTTTAAGTCTAATTTTAATTTTACATTAAGCATTCAAAGGTCCTCCGCTTCTTTGATACAATTGGGGAAGTTATTGCTATTTTCTTCATTTGAAAACTTAATGTAGAACTAAAATTTAGACTCTGGAAGACTAAATTCTTTTTGTAGCATTAAAGGAGCTTTTAATGCACTCCTTTGATACTACAAGGGAGAACTTATTTCCGTTTTCTTCATTTGAAGACTTAATGTAGAATTAAAAATTTCGACTCAAGTAATATCGTTGCCTTTTATTTCGGTTTTGATAAAAGAAATACTTGCATGTCGCACTGCTGCACGCAATTCTTTTAGTACTATGATATTTACGAGTGTATTCGCTCGAGTCGTTGAGTCAACTTTTCTCACGAATCTTAATTAAATAAATGAGGGGATATCTCCGACCTGGGACAATCCTAAGTGTACGCTGGCAGTCTCGCTTATGTACATAATTTTTCCGTCTGGCGCCACGACGAATATAAAACCATCCAGGGTCTGCAGTCAGAAATTATAATATTTTTAATTATGATCATGTTATAATATTATTATATTATATTTATTGGTTATCCGAATTTTAATTGGTCAGAATTTTATACGCGAATTTAACAAGAGAGAAAGAGAGATATATAAATTGACGGATAAATCTTTATTATTACTCTAGGGTTTAGTATTTTAGAACGGTAAATAAATTAAATATTGACAATTATATGTGATAAAATTAAGATTTCACGTTGTTAAATGTTTCATTATCGCAAATATACTTTAGTCTGTTGCATGTTGGGCATGATTTTCTTATCGATCATTATGTATTTAGGTCAGGGTTGGGCGTTTATACGTAACACGTCTACGCATAGATAATGTAATCCATGTATAATCAAATCTTCATAATTAACATCAAAATCGAATATGTAAACTATTTTAAAGTTTAAATTAATTTAGATTAATTAAAGTTTAAATTAATTTAAAATAATTTATCCTTTCTCTTTGCACTGTGCTAATTTATAATATTTTATATAGTTTATATTGTCTATATGTGAGAAAATTTATTTCATTTAAATATTATGTAGACAATGCATAAATTATTCATGTAAATGTAATTTAAAAATTTGTGGTGCAATTCTAGTTTAAGTATGTTGTGAATTCATTACGAATACAAGAGTAATGTCGATCGATGAACGATTACTCACCTGTAAAAGATGAGAGCCCAGCTCTTTAATTGCGGTTTCCAGGGGGTTGTTGGGTGGCGGAGCGGCACCCCACTCGTCACCAAGACCTAGAAAATTGATTCGAATTCGAAAATAAGACATGCTTAAGTATTACGCTCTCGATGCATATGTACATTCAAAATATTATAATACTTTTCATCATTCTCCGAACATTTTCGACAAATTAATGGGATTACGTAAATGAAATTGGAAATCCTCTTTACGCACGAATAAACGGACTGATATCGCAGCTTTCTTCTTATCTTCCATCCGATACGTATGTTTGTAACGACGTTTCATGCACAATGCGTCGTTAAATCTACGGCCACGTGTTCGCGTGTCTGCGCATTAATTATGGCATTCGTTTACGTGTCGCGCACCAATGCAGAAGTAGTTTCTGTCGCCGAGCAAAATTTTCATCTCGCGGAAAATTGCTCGATCCGGCCGTTTTCTTGATGCGTTTTTCTGATTTTTTTTTAGACTAGTTAGCCACGCTAACGAGAGAGTACGAATTAGAAGAGATGCATTATCCAATATTTCGTTTAATATCAAAGTCATTCAAAAACTTCGAAATTATTGACGATATTAACTATAATTAGGAGCTATAATATATGAATATTATGTACTTTAAAATACAATTTTTAATAACAAGCGCAACAATCCAGATGTTGGAAAACAAGTAATTTGATAATTTTCATACGTTTTCTATATTTTCTGAAAATAATACAATATTAATGACAAGTACTATATGTTCGATGTGTTAAAATATATACACTTTCGAATATTCCGTCGATTCGTTCATTTAAAAATAAACCAGTTATAATAGTTGATATTCATCGAAATTTTTTAGAAACTTTCGGCGAACGGCCACGTGCTGCGTTCACACGCGCACGACATTCCAAACGTTGCATATTCCGAGGCACGCTTCTTTCAAATTTGATTATCGGCCGACACCCTCCTCGGAGGAAATCATCGATCGAACGTTTCAATAAACGACACGTGTCAGATTTGACGACGATCGACATACAATGCTGCATTCGGTGGACTGTTCGACCCGTGCCGCTTCGAAAGACGGCCACGATTCAAAGTTCTTCTTTGCTATCACTGCATTTCATCAAAAATTTCGTAATGTTGGAATGTTACGAACAAAAAGCGGGAATCTTTAAAAAGCAGGTCTCATCAGGACGTGTCAAATAGAGAGACGTGTCAATGAGATTCTCTTATCGAGGAATCGTGATGTCGTACGAGAGTTTATACGACAAATACTGCGTTTATATATAAAGTAAATAAATAAATATCATACTTCTCATTTAATATCTATCGGCCGTTTAATTCGATCCCCTACATTTAAGTTGTCTCGGATAAAGGGTTAAATTCCGCAATCGGCAGGTTTGAGAAACTTTACACTCGCGCGGGAAAGAGCTCCTGAAAGCGTTATCGTAAGGACGTCGCGTCTCTTTTTCCAAGGATAAAGACGGCATGGTCGTCCTAGAGGGATGCAGCCACTTGAAATTCAATTCGCCGGTGTCGTAAGAGGGGAAATCGAACGAAGGGAGGCCATTGTAACACTATAACGGCCCCCATGCTTTGCTTACAAAGCGTTAGGGACTAACAATGCATTAAGTGCGCAATCACATCCATCTCATCCGATACACTATTTGCCCTTTGCGCGTAAGAGTCCGCTGGTTGAATTCATAAACCACCAGCCCGCGGCCGTCGCGCCGGTGAAAGAAGAAAGGACGCGAATTAATTCGCACCCGACGACGATCGATTGCTGCGGTTAAGCTTGACTGTTGTGGAAATTTATATATTGCACCGAGAGAGAGAGAGAGAGAAAGAGAGAGAGAAAGCGCTTGAATTAATACCGTCTAATGAGACTAATGGCTCGTCTCTTTTATTAGGTCGATGCAAAAGTTAATGCAATTTTTTAATCAAAACACATAACATTTATTTATTTCAAAATACATACAATTAATTAAGTGGAAGGAAAAACACTAAAATTGACATGGTAAACCGGCCATGTTTCTCGGCTGTAAAATACTGAGTTCTTTCAGAAAGCATATGAATTTTGTTTAATATATACAATAGTTGAAGTGGCAGTTTCTGTTAGCAATAAAAATATTAACGGGAGATTTAAAAGTTTTTTTTATTAACGCATACAGAAACTGTCGTATCGTTCGATCGTCGTGATCGGATATTCGCAGAGGAATTGCGTCGACCGAGAGAAATAACAGTGAAAATACAGAGATATAAATGCATTACCATGAGGAAAAACGGCTCTCATCTTCAGATAACTCGTGGTCAGCCTGATGATACTAGCCTTGTCCAGTTGCGTTGTAATGGCGGCTGGAAGCGGCAGCAGCTTCGCCAACTCGAGGAACTCCTGATTCTCCTTGACACGGCGCGATCGCGCCGCGTTCTTGCTTTTCTCTTTCATCACGCTTTCAGGCGGGCCGGACACGAGGAGGCTTTTGATCAAATTGTTATTGAACTTATCTTCCTCGTGTTGGTTGTCTTGGTGGAGGTAATAGTTGGCGAGATGAAGCGAGTTCTGATCCACCGCGTCCACCGTGGGAGGGCTGCCGCCTGTAAGCAAATGGGAAATGATTCTTCAGAATGCGTTCACTTTTATGCACTCGAATACGCATCTTACAATATAAAATGAGCTTTTTCTACTGAATTAAATCCATAATATGACGATGCGTTTATTTTAATGTACAATTGAATGTGAAAATTAAAAAATAAATTTCTAACGAAATAATCGTCGCTTCGCGTAGCGCGCCACGATTTTACCGAAGGTAGAAATTAATGCGCCAAACAGCATTAACCTGGCGAAGTTTAAATCAACTAGCGAAGTTAGGTATGCCTGAGCTATCCGCGCATGCAAAATCGATACAGCAATAACGCAATCGCGTTGCACAGCGGTAGCGTAAAATAGTCGTGCTATCGACGTGTCAGGTTGAATTAATTCCGCTATGCCTGACACGGCTGAATACACACACGAGTTTAAGTTCCACATGCATCGTAATCGCGATTTCTCATCGTCGATATCGTCAGTGGAGATGTCGACGTGATACCGATGATAAGGATATCGTTAGGAGTCGATGCTGACAGTCAGCATTGAAATAGACAAAGCCTCTTCATAAACTTCCTCGTCAGTTTTATCCGTACAAGTAAATGGAAGTGTCTGTCGCAGAAAGTATTGCACTTTCTCGCGATTTCTTGACAATTTTTAAATAATTGTCATTTGCTATCGCTATCGGGAATTTTATCATTTTATAGCGAAAGAAATTTACAACATTTGGAAATGCACGTGTGTGGTGATCGAAATACTGAATAGTTTAAAACGAATACGAGCGATGCGTTTTATATCAGGGTCGTTGCTGAAATATCATTATAAAAATTTCGCACGAATTTTTACACTTTGCACAGAATAGTAGCGAATAATCGGAAAAGCTCCGTTGGATCCGTAGAGAGATCGAAATTTTGCTGGCGCAATTATTTGTCTTGCAATATTGGGGGTCGTGACTTTATTTCGAAATCACGTTCGAAGCTTTCAAGCCGAATTACAATTTTTCCAGATGAAATAGAATCGCCTATCAGACATCGCATACAATCCGTAATATTGGGGCGGCGAAATTTTTTTCATGTTCCATAACTTTGAGGACGCGTGACGAACTTCGAAAGTATAAACGGGAAGTATAAACGTATAGTCGGGAAAATTAGAATCGAATAGAAATTAGAATCGTTCCAACAAAGAGTTGAGCGACGGGAGAGAGAGAGAGAGATTTCCGTCTTAAATCCATTTTGCTCCCATGATTCCAAATATTATCTTTTCTCAAATTCTCGAGAAATAGGGAAAGGAGGAATAAAGTTTCGAAAATATGTTAAATGTAATTAATCACGTGCACACGAAATGTTAAACGAATGAGATCTATTAAGTAACGCGAAAAAAAGTGAAGATTAAACAGAGGAAAAGGTTTCTTCGGATCTAGCATACGTGTTTGACTTGGCTTTGTTTAATATAAACAATTCAATATCAAACATCATTTTGTTTGAATAAAAGTGTTGTTCCACTAGAGTAAACCATGTTGTTTGATAGAAAAAAGAAACAGTATTATTTAGAGAAAATAATGTTTGGTTTCCAGTAAAAGAAAAATGTATTTCATTATATATTAAATATCGTTCTATTGAAACAAATCATTCATTATTTGTGACAACCATTGCGATGTATGGATGAAAATATAAAAGAAATATGTTATTTGACGTAAAGTATTTATTATTTGAGAAATCAATGAATCCTGTTTGTTGAATCAAACATTCGTTTGTTTGTTACATTCCAAAAGACAAATTTGTTCCAATTAAAGAGATTTTATCAAAGAAATCTTCTCTGTATACATTTGCCACGTATACCATTTCGGCGATTCATTGGCTCGTAAGATTCGCGATCAAATCGAGATGAGATCCAATTAGATGACCTCGCGCGTTAAATCGGAGACTGAGAAACAAGTTCTTCGAAATAAGTGCTCTCTAACACGTGCTCGATGCGGAAGAGATTATGACCGCGTCGTTCGTGAATGATATGACGCGAATCGCGCGTAACGATGTCGAAGCTCCTCGTTATAAGAAACGAAAGCAAAGGGAGCAAGCCGTCATTAAAGCGCCAGCGAGAGAGCAACCTAACGACGTAGCTACCCGGACTTCTCTCGGATGGAAATTTGCCTGAATAATGCATTTTTTTTCTTTACCGCTTCCACTTTTGCATTCGGTGGCCGCTCCAAACTGGTACAACCGTCGCGCTGTCTGGTTTCGATTTTCTCGCCGAGCGTGAATTTTCTCTCGAGCGTTGAGATCAACGACGCTATATTTTTCTTTCTCTTATTTTGGAAAATTTATTAATTGGTCGGTATTAATTGTAACATAATTCCTCGCTACCTTTTTGCTCGAATAACTTTTGGAACTTTGAATTTTATTGATCAGTGCGGCAGGTTGCTGGTGCTGCAGGTTCAGCATCTGCTGTACCGACAAAATGGCCGAAAATCACTGCTGCGAAAGACAAATGGCCTCTAGACAAAGACGCTATTTCGTGTGCGTTGAATAATTCAGTAATTTAAAGTGCTATGGAATGTTATGGAAATGTACATAAAAATACGAGAAAATATCAGCAGACGTAATGCTCTATCATTGACAAACGCAAGTTTCGGTAGGAATGTAAGGTTGAAACAATAGATGTTAGCTTCAAAAGTAAATTTAAGATTAATCAACGTAAGAGTATAACGCTACATTAATATTTTCTCATGTGTATTTTATTTCTTGCGCAGAGAAAATTTTATATATATATATATAAAATAAAATTATATAATAAATAAAATAATAAATAAAATTTGTATATAAACAAATGAATATTTCTGAATAATATATAAGTTTTATTTTATTTTATTTTAATTCAATATATATACATACATACATATATATATATATATATATATATAGATAAAATTCTCTATATTAAATTAAAATAAAATAAAACTTATATATTACTCAGAAATATCCATTTGTTTATTTACAAATTTTATTTGTTTGCTCCCTAAATTTCTTCGAAATCTCACTCAAAACAAGTGAAGAACTTCCTCCGTACATATTTCACAACCGTCCTGCCGGTGCATTTACGGTTGCCTTGACCAGTGAGAAAGCGATAATGAAAACAAAGAAAAAATGGCAGGTGTGTACACTTTCAAGAATTTTCGGATTAGAACTTCTCAGACAATCAATTGTTGTGATTAACTATACGAAGACGATAAAGACAATTTTTCTCTGCATTTTATGCCAGAAACGCGCGATTTTGTAAGCCGTATATTTTTCTCTGTAACTGACATAACCAATATTTGAACACATTGCCTTGTGTCCAACCTGATTTTTAGAAGTTGGCGTAGGATGACGGTGTAAATTGATTACATATAAAATACGATCGTGCATCTTGAAAAATGTTGTATCGTTTAAAACTGTGACTCCGTTATCGGTTTACTTTTCAAGTAGAATTTTATTCGAAGAAATTTCGAGGATGAACTTTTGCTTCGGCAAAATGGCAAACACATGGAACAGAAACAAAGAAAAGCGTTAATACCTTGTAGACTCAGATAATAATGCGGACTGTTTTGTATACAATAATTGTACATCTGAACGATCTTCGGTACTCTTCTTTCATCTCTTGCGAGGATCGACGGCATATTACACACACTTTATTACAAATTGACTCGTGTCCTCAACCGTATTCGGTCTTTATAGTCACACTCACGTCGTCAGAAGTATGTATATCGATATACGTTATTGCATAACAAAAAAAAAGGAACAAAGAAAATTTACCGTAATCTTGATTCGAAGCAAGAAATTCGACCTACGCATCGTACTACGTCGAATTTCGGACTAAAATGCAGGTTCGTTTATAACCCGCATTTTTTCTCTCTTTTTTTCTCTTTCATTCTATCTCTTTATTTTGGGAGCAACCAATGTCGCCTCTCAGTCTACGTTCTTTTCCAATGGGAGATCAGAGTTGTCGCCCCTATCTCAGAGCTCCACCCTTGGTGGAAGCAGGTTTTGCCTAGACGGCTCGTACACATGCGAGCGTTGCTTCTTTGTATGTATCCTTTATCACTTTCAAAAGAGATAAACTGAAGAACGGGAAAATTATAGATGTAGCAGCATAGCGGCGCAGCATCATTTTTCTTCGAAAAAGTTATTGCTGACGGTTTTCGCATGCTGCTTCACGAAACTGTCACAATTTGACCGATACGATCGATAACTCGAATACCGAACAAAGAGTACAAAGTATGAAAACAGATGGTATATAAATATAGTTGTTGCCGAAAAGCTCCGAATAGTCGTATAGAAGCAATAAATCTCGTAGAACAGATACATAGACAAATCACCGAACGACGGGTACATAGGCACGTATTTAAAATTGATAGATTTTATTTTAAAATAAATAAATATTATATGTACATTATGCGTTATACGTACATTTTGATTATGAGACGGAGCAAACTTTTGCATTATCTCAATAGCAAGTACAAAGGACGGCCTTGCTTACCGAGAATTTTTTCTTAAAACCTTTCCGGTTTCACCGATTTTTCGCCATTACGTAAATTTCCTTTTTATTTACGATGGAGTTTGTTCCAGGCACTTTGCGAATTTTTTCTGTATACTTAGAGCAAGTCCAGGCCGATTCATTCTGTACTTATGGTCGTTTATTACATATCTTAATGAGTTCGAACCTGCTGGACAAAGAAAAGCTCTACTGTCGTGCAAATTTTCTGCGGCCCGAAAAGGTCGGAAGGTTTTGTGTTCAAAGCGATTCCAAAAGTACCGTACTTCCTTTCAACAGGAATTCTTCGGCATCTGGGCTGTGAAGATTTCGAAGAACCACCTGTGCGTCGCACCTTGCCAGGTCTGGGT